TAAGACGGATCCTAAATGGATCTTCTTGCGTTCGAGCCATCCTGTGAATGTCCTGTTAGTGAGACAGTCTGTACATTCACAGAGCTCAGTTTACATTAAAATCAACCAAACATCCTCTTTCAGGCCACTTCTAGGGACAAACAGAACCGAAGACACTAAAAAGGTTGCAACATGGGGACATCCAAACTATCCAAAAAACTAATAATTGCATAAACTCAGACACGAAACATACAAAAACAGACATTTTCAACAACATACATTTAATCAAATTGTGATTTGTGTCTTCAGCAATGAGTCTCATTCCTTGCAGTGTGTTTTAAGTTGAGAAAGAGGACACACATTTAGTTGACCAAAATTGAAGGAAGTTCGAGTCCAAGTCTAAAAATAAACAGGGAGATTGTTCTATGCACAAAATCATACACTTCACTTCCCAAAATGAACTCCCTCCCAACTAACTTGGGCAAGGCCTCCTTCAGTTTGTCACTAGTTCATTAAAATGACACCTGAGGAACACAGTCAGTAACCCAGTGTTGGAGGAGCCCTGTGGGCCAGACCCATGCCCTTCTCTGTCAGAGCAGGAGAACCAACATGGCGGCTCCTTTTACAGTAGCTAGTCTAGTGTACGGCGGTCTGGTGCAGCTCAGGCCAGTAGCTTCATGGAGAGTTACCCAGCAGAGGAAACATCAGATGTGGGCTGGGGAGGGACAGGCCTCTAGTCTCCACGACCACCCTGTCCTCTCGTCACCCAACCTTAGGCCCAGTGTAGACACGCTACTGCTCTCTTCTGACTGCAAGGCTGGAGGGGAGGGTTGACAACCCCTCCTCACACCTCCACTCCATTCCACAGCCACCGAAGGGAGACAAGCCTGCGTTCCAGACACTGATCTAGAGAGAGAGAGCGAGAGAGATGAGCGTTAGGCATACCAAGAACTCTAGAGTTGGTCCATGAGAATCATTCACATTTTTGTGAACACTTGTCACATGTCTAGTAAAATCAAATGAAATCACATTTTATATTGTCACATCATACGTGTTTAGCAGATGTTGTTGCGGGGGTGTAGCGAAATGCTTGTTCTTCTAGCGCCGACAGTGCAGTAATATCGAACAAGGAATATCTAACAATTTCACAACATATACCCAATACACACAAATCTAAGTAAGGAATGGAATTTAAGAATATATACATATAATGGACAAGCAATGACAGAGCGGCATTGGACTAAGATACAGTAGAATATTATAGTAGCAGCTCATATACAGGACCTGAGAATGCAGATAATTCCGTCTGGACCATTAACAGCTCCTCAGTATAGTGTCTTATCAGGCTTATTCGTGCTTTATGACAGGGAGAGAAATCCCCATGAATGTAGGATAGGAGTTGTTCCTGTTACAAAAACATAGTCTTGCTGTAATATTATTTAAAAAATTTAAAAATACACTCAAAAAGAAAATAATTTTGGGGCATTCAAATTAAAATACCTCATATGCCTTAACCCTAATTTTGGCTTAAAACTAATACATATCCAGGCTTGTCATGCTTGTCAGCTAGAAATCTGTTGAGCTGTAGATATGCACATTTTACATTTAGTGATTCCCCTAGGTTCTGTAGCTGGAATCTCTTACCCCCAGCTTGTCTTTGTGGCCTCAGCTATTTTAGAATCTAATTTCCTTCCCCTGCTGTTAAGATGGAACGGTTCTTTAGAAGAAAAAAAAAAAAAGTTACATATTCTGATTTGCATTTTGGGAGATAATGCTATTCTGTCTGCGGGAGCTGTTCGTTCATGTGTGTGTGTGTGCCTAAAACAGACAGCAAAGCATGGTGGGTTACAGCAGACAGAGACTCTGCTGGGGGTGGGGGTTTAAGGCAGCTTAATGAGCTCATTACCATAGCAGACCAGAACCTGGGTATTTTCTCATCTGATCTCAGAGCAGAACCTGGGTATCCTCTCATCTCAGAGCAGAACATAACAGAACCTGGGTATCCTCTCATCTCAGAGCAGAACCTGGGTATTTTCTCATCTGATCTCAGAGCAGAACCTGGGTATTTTCTCATCTGATCTCAGAGCAGAACCTGGGTATCCTCTCATCTCAGAACAGAACAGAACCTGGGTATTCTCTCATCTCAGAGCAGAACCTGGGTATTTTCTCATCTCATCTCAGAGCAGAACCTGGGTATCCTCTCATCTCAGAACAGAACAGAACCTGGGTATTTTCTCATCTCAGAGCAGAACAGAACCTGGGTATTTTCTCATCTCAGAGCAGAACAGAACCTGGGTATCCTCTCATCTCAGAACAGAACAGAACCTGGGTATTCTCTCATCTCAGAGCAGAACCTGGGTATTTTCTCATCTCATCTCAGAGCAGAACCTGGGTATCCTCTCCTCTCAGAGCAGAACAGAACCTGGGTATCCTCTCAGAGCAGAACAGAACCTGGGTATCCTCTCATCTCAGAACAGAACCTGCAGAGGCTGGATAATACAGCAGGAGCCTGAGTCTCCTCTTAGCATCAGCTATGGAGGCCCAGGTTGGGGCTACACTGTCAAATCACAGCTACTGAGGCCTGTACCCATGAGCACTGGAGAGCAGCTGCTGTTCTCATACTATAGTGCATACACATTACATGTAAAAACTGTCTCGTTTATGTTGACTAATATGCTACACCTAATAACACCACATCAGCAGGCCAGATGAGACTTTCCACTGCAGCGAGTGTGTGTGTGTGTCCTGGCACACTCCCTGCTGCTGTTTTTAATCAATTTTTTCCACTAGTGTAGATGAAACCCAGCACCACCAGGAGCATTAGTGTAGATTATGAAACCCAGCACCACCAGGAGCACTAGTGTAGATGATGAACCCCAGCACCACCAGGAGCACTAGTGTAGATGATGAAACCCTGCACCACCAGGAGCACTAGTGTAGATGATGAACCCCAGCACCACCAGGAGCATTAGTGTAGATTATGAAACCCAGCACCACCAGGAGCACTAGCGTAGATTATGAAACCCAGCACCACCAGGAGCACTAGTGTAGATGATGAACCCCAGCACCACCAGGAGCATTAGTGTAGATGAACCCCAGCACCACCAGGAGCATTAGTGTAGATGATGAACCCCAGCACCACCAGGAGTATTAGTGTAGATGATGAACCCCAGCACCACCAGGAGCATTAGTGTAGATGATGAACCCCAGCACCACCAGGAGCATTAGTGTAGATGATGAACCCCAGCACCACCAGGAGCATTAGTGTAGATGATGAAACCCAGCACCACCAGGAGCACTCCCCCCCCGCTGCCTGCCACCGCATCACTGTTTCACAAGTACGGCACCTTTAAATATAGTTATCTTTCTATTTAAAGTGAGGTTTCACATTTAGCTGCATTCACGTTGCAAAGCAACTCCTCTCAACTTGGTCCCAATGAGGTGAAGTAAACGCTACAACCTCAGAGGTCAATGATCAGTCATCACCACCTTTACTACCATCAGTCATCACCACCTTTACTACCATGAGACAACACAACAGACAGGCTCATCAGACAACACAGGCTCGTCTCTGTTTCAGCCTGTCTCGACTGGCTCTTCTTCATATTAGTAAAGGGTCAAACAGCCAAAAACTCCCCTCTGTGTTAGCTCACGGTTGGCCTTTCACCTATTTCCTAACGCCAGCCCATCCCAGGGAGTCTGGTTAGTCCACTACAGACAGTAAGCCAGATAGTCTGCACCCTTTTCTCTATATAGTGTACCCTGCTTTTGGCCTTGGCCTGAGTGTACACAAATCAGGAGTTGACTGTAGTTCCAGTCCTGGGTGGAAGGATGCATTTTCACCAGAACCCTGCATCTTCATGTGTTCCCCGTCTAACAACATACCCTACACAATGTTTACTAATGACCAGTTCTAATTACAATGTATCAGCTAACATGGAAAACACAGCACACTGACAGCCAGGCTAATTTACACCAGTAGCTCTGTCCGTGGGCTAACGGTCTAGCTCTGTCCGCGGGCTAACGGTCTAGCTCTGTCCGCGGGCTAACGGTCTAGCTCTGTCCGTGGGCTAACGGTCTAGCTCTGTCCACGCTAGCTCTGTCCGTGGGCTAACGGTCTAGCTCTGTCTGTGGGCTAACGGTCTAGCTCTGTCCGCGGGCTAACGGTCTAGCTCTGTCCGCGGGCTAACGGTCTAGCTCTGTCCACGCTAGCTCTGTCCGTGGGCTAACGGTCTAGCTCTGTCTGTGGGCTAACGGTCTAGCTCTGTCCGCGGGCTAACGGTCTAGCTCTGTCCACGCTAGCTCTGTCCGTGGGCTAACGGTCTAGCTCTGTCTGTGGGCTAACGGTCTAGCTCTGTCCGTGGGCTAACGGTCTAGCTCTGTCCGTGGGCTAACGGTCTAGCTCTGTCCGCGGGCTAACGGTCTAGCTCTGTCCGTGGGCTAACGGTCTAGCTCTGTCCGTGGGCTAACGGTCTAGCTCTGTCCGCGGGCTAACGGTCTAGCTCTGTCCGTGGGCTAACGGTCTAGCTCTGTCCGTGGGCTAACGGTCTAGCTCTGTCCGCGGGCTAACGGTCTAGCTCTGTCCGCGGGCTAACGGTCTAGCTCTGTCCGTGGGATAACGCTCAGACAGAATACTAAGACAAATGAGCATCGTCTTACCAGCAGTTGGGCTTGACAAATTCTAACACAAACATTGTTCCTAGCAGGCGCTGGATTGAGACTAACAGCGGGACAGAGAATACCGCTGTGTCAGACCAAGACCCCCTTCAATGATACATGCTTCTGAGGGATAAATAGTGTAATAATTCAAACTAATTGCCAGCTGCAGGCTTTTGAAAAGGCCCTACAGCCCTGACGACTCATCTGTTTTAAAGTGATCATCAAATTATTGTCTGAAGATTAGTCGGTCATTTTAAGCACCTTTTCCCTTTGTATTCCGCACCATGGAGAAAAGGCCAATAAAAAGACTATTCGTTTTATGCAAATGATGCTGCGCCAAGGGCCATAATGTGGCAGATTGATTACTCTGGAGACTCAAGACGGAGTGGGGGCACGCGCCCTGAGCTCACCCGGCGTGTTTCTCTCTCTCTAGAGAAGGGAGGGAGGGGACGCTGAACACAGATGCCCTTTCAAAAAGGCTCATTCAGAGAGCGTTCCTGGTGGCCTTTAATAAAACGTTAGTATTGAGCAGCGGGCCTCCCTCCTCCCCACTATCCTCTGCCCCCTTCTTTAACAGCAGTCTGGGGAGGCCCACTGAAGCCTGCCCACTGACCTATGACCCTGCCCAGGTGTGCCCCATCACACAGAGCCACCCACCGCCTCAGGTTTCAGTTGGAACCGTTAAATGGGCCTCTGTTTCTGGGATGTTTGTGAGAGGAGGGGGGCAGAAAAAGAGAGGGAGAGGAGGGGGAGAAAGAAGAGGGGAGGCAGGAGAAAGGAGACAGGAGGAGAGGAGAGAGGGAGTGAGAACAAACAGCCATTGCTAGGCCTGTTGGGTGTCCGAGGAGACCGCGTTGAACTTTGTGCTCAGATCTCCGGTTACAATCTGTCTGCCTGTAGTCCTACACCAGTCACCAGCACAGTGTTGGGGCTAAGCTAGGATACCCCCCCCCCCCCCCCCCCCCCCCCCCCCACCAGCTAAGACCCAACTCCCTCAACTCATGATTAACTACTCTAGGGGACTATGCAAGCAAAGGAAAACAGAACAAATCCACAGGAAATTATGGAGTCATTACAGAAGAATTCCTATTATTTTACTCTAAAATAGTTCAATTAACTCTGCAAAAAGAGTGAAATTAACACTCAGTGGTGTAAATTAACTCTATTGTCCTTCTTATTCTGTGTAGAGTAAAACACTCAAAACCACACCCATCATTATATTTCCCAGCATGCTCTATTGCAGTTTGATTTTTTTTTAATTGTTTGTTTCAAAAATCGGTGGTGTTTTTGCATTAAATCATATGCAACACAAAGATAAAATAACATTTTTCTAAACTAATCTAATCTGTTAGTTGAATTTATTGCACCCGTTACTGAAATGTTTATTCCAGTTTAGATGGTTTATATGCAGTCTCATTTATTCATTTCTCTATCCCACCCTTCTGGGGTGAATCCAGGAGGGGGTTTCTGTTGTTTTGGTTTTGAATTATTTTCCCTTTCATACCGTTTTTAGATGTATCCATTTTGTTTCAGTGTGTTAAACTGTTGCACTGGTATCCTGCCATAATATCACTGGTGTAATTGTCTGAATGTTCCTGCTGCCGTGTGTGTGAGAAATGGAACTCACTCAACAATCAACACTTACACCTCTGCTCTACAGTAAAAACATTTAAAAACACAGATTGTTTCTTGTCTAGACTATGAGTCTACGACAAACCATAATTTGAGTGTTTACAGTCACAAATATTTTTTTTCTCCATCAACAGTGAGTGAATGGATGGTGGCCTGAATCTGTGGTCAGACCCATCTGGAGAGAAGAGTGGTGAAAACTAGCTGATAATTACACTAGAACAAACTGCCAAGACAACTGAAATCTCCCCACCACAAATCATTACCAATGGAGCTGAAACCTTTATTCCTCTAGAATTAGAAGGAAAAGGGTGTGTGTGTGTGTGTGGTATTTGTAGTATGGGTGGAAGACAGGGTGGTTTCATAAGCATGTTGAAACACAGTGATAATAATAATTTAACTTGTATAGCGCTTTCATTACAGAAAATAAATCTCAACGCCCATAAAAAGCCAAACAAATAAACATTTAAATTGAGATGGAACATCTATCTGGCTTGGGATGAAAAGGCTGGCAGTTGAGACAGTTAGGATTGGAAAGGCAGTGTAGCTTCAGCAGAGGGGCATCGATGGTAGAGCCAGAGAGAAACAAAGACTGTCTGACAAACAGGCCCAGAGCGATTCATCAGTTCACCACATCTGCTTCTCTGACGGTCAGTTTCTCCATAGGACCCGCTCCTCTGCAGGTACTGGTCCTCCATAGGACCCGCTCCTCCGTAGGTACTGGTCCTCCATTGCCGAACATGTAGCACCCACCTGTGTGATGCCACGGCTGCTTAAAAGCGCACAAAAAGCCACCACATTTTGGCAGTGGTTAAACATCAACTTTGAGCATGGAAAAAGTTCCAACTCCTCCTCTTTCTCAATTTTCAAACAGAAAAGGGGTGTGCCTTTGGTGGGTCATCGATGTGTCATTCTGGTCATGCACGCCGCGACCGACGTAGTTAGTTGGTTAGCTAAGCTAGCCAGTTGTAGCTAGCTAGTAGCTCCTCCAGTATGTGTTGACGTCATTTCACAGGATTCGTTTATGGACAGAAGCTGTAGAGATCGGTAAGAAACGGCACTTCTGTAGCAAAAAATTGTATTCATCCATTTTCTTTTGTTTTAAATCATTAAAATGACCTGGTGTGATGGTGCATTGATCAGCTATACAGTTTAAAAGCTATTATTTTTGTTTTTTGGGCCAAAGTTGACCTTTAAGAACAGTCCCTGAGCCTCTATCTGCCCTCACTCACATCCCCTCTTTAGACCTCTGACATGGTTGAGAGGCAGGCGTCTCGTGTGTGTTTGTTTCAGCGGAGGCTGGTGAGGGAAGGACGGCTCATAATAATGTCTGGAACGGAATAAATGGAATGGCAAACACACAGAAACCATGTGTATGATGTATTTGAAAATATTATTTCACTTATAATTCACTGTATCACAATTCCAGTGGGTCAGAAGTTTACATACACACTAAGTTGACTGTGCCTTTAAACAGCTTGGAAAATTCCAGAAAATGATGTCATGGCTTTAGAAGCTTCTGATAGGTTTTTACAGTGATGGTATATTTCTAAAATGGGCTTTATTTAGTGTATTTTAATTCCATTACTAATATCACAGGATGTGCAGATGGATTTGGCGCATGCGCACTTGCTGAAAAACATTACTTAGATTATTTCCAGAAAAGGCATTTCTTGGTTGCATGTAACTTTATTTTGACCTTTTCTGGAAGTACATGCGGCCGGGATGGCAGTAATGACGATAGTTGCTCTAGCATCTGCTAAATGACTAAAATGTAAATGTAACGATTCCCACGGGGGGCCAGTATGAAAAAAAAAATATATATATATATATTTTTTTTCATACTGGCCCCCCGTGGGAATCGAACCCACAACCCTGGCGTTGCAAACGCCATGCTCTACCAACTGAGCTACATCCCTGCCGGCCATTCCCTCCCTACCCTGGACGACGCTGGGCCAATTGTGCGCCGCCCCATGGGTCTCCCGGTTGCGGCCGGCTACGACAGAGCCTGGATTCGAACCAGGATCTCTAGTGGCACAGCTAGCACTGCGATGCAGTGCCTTAGACCACTGCGCCACTCGGGGGTCAGTGGTCTAACATCTCAAGACATCAGTCAGAAAGTTAAAGCTTGGTCACAAATGGGTCTTCCAAATGGACAATGACCCCAAGCATACTTCCAAAGTTGTGGAAAAATGGCTTAAGGACAACAAAGTCAAGGTATTGGAGTGGCCATCACAAAGCCCTACCCTCAATCCTATAGAAAATTTGTGGGCAGAACTGAAAAAGCGTGTGCGATCAAGGAGGCTGCAAACCTGACTCAGTTACACAAGCTCTGTCAGGAGGAATGGGCCAAAATTCACCCAACTTATTGTGGGAAGCTTGTGGAAGGCTACCTGAAACGTTTGACCCAAGTTAAAACAATTTAAAGGCAATGCTACCAAATACTAATTGAGTGTATTAGTACTGACCCACTGGGAATGTGATGAAAGAAATAAAAGCTGAAATAAATCACTCTCTACTATTATTCTGACATTTCACATTCTTAAAATAAAAGTGGTGATCCTAACTGACCTAAAATAGGGAATTTTTACAAGGATTAAAATGTCAGGAATTGTGAAAAACTGAGTTTAAATGTATTTGGCTAAGGTGTATGTAAACTTCAGACTTCAACTGTATGTATAGGGGTAAGGGAACTAGGCAACAGGATATAAGATAAACAGAGTAGCAGCAGCTTGTACTGTATGTGAGCAATGATGTAGTGTTTGTGACTTCAACTGTATGTGTGTGTGTGTGTGTGTGTGTGTGTGTGTGTGTGTGTGTGGGGGGGGGGGGGGGGGGGTTAGTGGGCTTCTGAAAAATCCGATTTCCCATTTATATTGCAGCACAGCAGCAGGCTGAGTGACTCTCACCAAGCTTTGGTGTCTGTCTGACTGACTGGCTGAAAACAGAGCAAGGCACCAAAGCTTAATGAGAGAGTTACTCAGCCTAATGCCAGTCATCCCCCCCAGTTTAGTTTCATGTCAAGTCAAACGGTAGTTACCTACAGCCATCTTAATGAGAGAGTTACTCAGCCTAATGCCAGTCATCCCCCCCAGTTTAGTTTCATGTCAAGTCAAACAGTAGTTACCTACAGCCATCTTAATGAGAGAGTTACTCAGCCTAGCCAGTCATCCCCCCCATTTTTAGGTTTCATGTCAGTAAAGTAGTTACCTCAGCCACTCTAATAGAGAGTTACTCAGCGTAATGCCAGTCACCCCCCCAGTCAGTTTCATGTCAGTCAAAAGTAGTTACCTACAGCCATCTAATGAAGAGTTACTCAGCCTAATGCCAGTCATCCCCCCCAGTTTAGTTCATCAAGTCAAACGGTAGTTACCTACAGCCATCTAAGAGAGTTACTCAGCCTAATGCCAGTCACCCCCCCAGTTTAGTTTCATGTCAAGTCAAACAGTAGTTCCTTGCAGCTGCATCGATAAAGTCAGCCTTCCCTCCAGCTCCCAGGCGTCCACATAGTCCTAAAGTCAGCCTTCCCTCCAGCTCCCAGGCGTCCACATAGTCCTAAAGTCAGCCTTCCCTCCAGCTCCCAGGCGTCCACATGGTCCTAAAGTCAGCCTTCCCTCCAGCTCCCAGGCGTCCACATAGTCCTAAAGTCAGCCTTCCCTCCAGCTCCCAGGCTTCCACATAGTCCTAAAGTCAGCCTTCCCTCCAGCTCCCAGGCGTCCACATGGTCCTAAAGTCAGCCTTCCCTCCAGCTCCCAGGCGTCCACATGGTCCTAAAGTCAGCCTTCCCTCCAGCTCCCAGGCGTCTACATGGTCCTAAAGTCAGCCTTCCCTCCAGCTCCCAGGCGTCTACATGGTCCTAAAGTCAGCCTTCCCTCCAGCTCCCAGGCGTCTACATAGGTCCTAAAGTCAGCCTTTCCTGCACCTTCCCTCCCTCCAGGCGTCTACATGGTCCTAAAGTCAGCCTTCCCTCCAGCTCCCAGGCATCCACATAGTCCTAAAGTCAGCCTTCCCTCCAGCTCCCAGTCGTCTACAGTCCTAAAGTCAGCCTTCCCTCCAGCTCCCAGGCGTCTACATGGTCCTAAAGTCAGCCTTCCCTCCCACTCCCAGGCGTCTACATAGTCCTAAAGTCAGCCTTCCCTCACCTTCCCTCCCAGGCGTCCACATGGTCCTAAAGTCAGCCTTCCCTCACCTTCCCTCCCAGGCGTCTACATAGTCCTAAAGTCAGCCTTTCCTCACCTTCCCTCCCAGGCGTCTACATAGTCCTAAAGTCAGCCTTCCCTCCAGCTCCCAGGCGTCCACATGGTCCTAAAGTCAGCCTTCCCTCCAGCTCCCAGGCGTCTACATGGTCCTAAAGTCAGCCCCCCTCCAGCTCCCAGGCGTCCACATAGTCCTAAAGTCAGCCTTCCCTCCAGCTCCCAGGCGTCCACATGGTCCTAAAGTCAGCCTCCCAATACCGCTAAACTACATTTGCCTTTTAAAATCAGGTTTGGAATGATTTTAGTAGCCTATTTTATACTGAACAAAGATATAAAACGCAACATGCAACAATTTCAAAGATTTTAGTGAGTTACAGTTCATAAGGAAATCAGTCAATTGAAAAATTAATTGGGCCCTCATCTACGGATTCCACATGACTGGGAATACAGACATGCATCTGTTGGTCACAGAGACCTTGAAAAATAGGTAGGGGCATGGATCAGAAAACCAGTCAGTATCTGGGGTGACCACCATTTGCCTCATGCAGCATGACATCTCCTTCACACAGAGTTGATCAGGCTGTTGATTGTGGCCTGTGGAATGTTGTCCCATTCCTCTTCAACGGCTGTGCGAAGTTGCTGGATATTGGCGGGAACTGTAACACACTGTCATACACATCGATCCAGAGCATCCCAAACATACTCAATTGGGTGACATCAGTCTGGTGAGTATGCAGGCCATGGAAGAAATGGGACATTTTCCGCTTCCAGGAATTGTGTACCGATCCTTGCGACATGAGGCCGTGCCTGGCTGATGGCAGCGGATGACTGGCACGACAATGGGCCTCGAGATCTCGTCATGGTTATCTCTGTGCATTCAAAATTGCCATCGATAAAATGCAATTGTGTTAGTTGTCCGTAGCTTATGTCTGCCCATACCATAACCCCACCGCCACCATGGGGTACTCTGTTCACAACGTTGACATCAGCAAACCGCCATACACGCTGTCTGCCATGCACAGTTGAAACTGGGATTCATCCATGAAGAGCACACCTCTCCAGTGTGCCAGTGGCCATCGAAGGTGAGCATTTGCCCACTGAAATCGGTTACGACGCCAAACTGCAGTCAGGTCAAGATCCTGGTGAGGACGACGAGCACGCAGAAATTCTTCGGTTGTGCAAACCCACAGTTTCATCAGCTGTCCGGGGGGTATGGTCTCAGATGATCCCGTAGGTGAAGAAGCCGGATGTGGAGGTACTGGACTGGAGTGGTTACACGTGGTTGCAGTTGTGAGGCCGGTTGGACGTACTGCCAAATTCTCTAAAACGACGTTGGAGGCGGCTTATGGTAAAGAAATTAACATAAAATTATCTGGCAACAGCTCTGGTGGACATTCCTGTAGTCAGCAATGCCAATTGCACGCGCCCGCAAAACTTTTGGCATATGTGGCATTGTGTTGCGTGACAAAACTGAACATTTTAGAGTGGCCTTTTACCGCCCCCAGCACAAGGTGCACCTGTGTAATGATCATGCTGTTTAATCATCTTCTTGATATGCCACACCTGTCAGGTGGATGGATGATCTTGGCAAAGGAGAAATGCTCACTAACATGGATGTAAACAAATGTGTGCACCAAATGAGAGAAATAAGCTTTTTGTGCGTATGGAACATTTCTGGGATCTTTTATTTCAGCTCATGAAACATGCGACCAACACTTTACACGTTGCATTTATATTTTTGTTGAGCGTAAATTGTTTGTGTTGCTGCCACACCTAGGACCTAGAGGATATAGCCGTAGGCCTGGGACAGCTCACAGATATTGCACAATCCTCACCAAGGGACTGCAGTGCATTGCAAGCACAGGCCTGAACTCTGCTGAGAGTGATTGAGGGCTAGAGCGACGTGAAGCGGCTCTGTGTGTCTGTAATTACTGCCAGGCTGACATCCCGATTTCCTACTGCTCCATAAACTACTGACTTTTCCATGTTCATCATCCAGCACCCAGCCAGAGGCCAACATTAGATAATATTGTAATCATCGGCAACCATGACAACCACGACAACAGAGGATTGATAAACTGTTCGTCGGCCCCTTCTGATGTCAGCCTGGGGTCACTGATACTGGACTGACAAGAGAGGACGACTGACTGATCTCGCCGACCGACAGTGTTGTAAAGTCCTTGAACGCTATATAAATCCAGTCAACTATTTGTATTATTACCTCTGTACAAGGCCATAGTGTTGTAAGGGGGAACAGCTATGAAGGAGAGTGATGCTCTAATATCAATTGAGACTAGATCAGAGTGGAACAACATGACTTGACCTCTCGTCCTACACACTGTCCTCTAGATTTATAAGATTTTGGTTGATCTAGAGGGGGGCGCATGTGTTAACAATTAGTTTTTTTTTTCTTTCATTAGTTGTTTCCATTGCTGACTGATTTGAAACACGTCTGCAGAGACAAACTGTCTCCTCATCTGCATGTTTCTTTTAAAAGATATGTGATTGTCTGTGCCGCCCTCTTAAAAAATGGTTTATCAATTCGTCTCCCCAACAACTTTGGGAATACACTCCAGAGTTTCCATTCACATTGTTTTTTTAGAGTAGGCCTAACCTGGGTCTGTGCAACCTGTGACCTGTTGTGTTTTGTACGTGTTTGAAGAAGCAACTCACCAGTGATCCTAACAGCCACTTCTTCCTGTTGCCCCGTCACTATGCTGAGAGATACTTCCAGGTGCTGACGAAAGCTGTGGGGATCAGCGAGTAGGGCACACTGGTCACGCTATCCCACGAGTCTTTAGAAGGGTCGTAACAGTCCAGGGTCTTGCACCTCTGAGCACCAAAGTAGCCCCCCACAACGTAAAGCCGGTTCCCCGACGCCACTGCGTGACAGCTGATCCTCTTGGCCATCACGTCCCCGAACTTGGACCACTGGTACGTCTCACTGTTGAAGCGGTAGGCCGAGCTGGCCGAGAACTCTGTGTCCCCACCGATCACTACGACGTGGTTACCTACCACAGCCGCCGCCGTGTAGCGCCAGAGCTGAGGGCACGAAGCAGGCACTGTCCACCTGTTCTGGACCGGGTCGAAGCACTGCACCTTGGGAAACTTATCTCGGTTGACGCTGGTGCCCCCGAAGACAAACAGCTTGTTCTTGGCCCCCACCACTGCAGCATTGCTAACCCCCGTCTCTGAGAGGAGCTACAAGGGTCCACTTGTTGGTCTGTGGGTCATACTGCTCCACCTGTTTGAGAGAGACTGATGGAGAGGCTGGGAAGGAGCCGGCCAGAGAGGTGTGTCCACCTACAACGTACAGGATGTGGTCAAGCTCCGCTGTCCCGTGTCCGAACCTGGCCACCAGCATGGGCGCGGCTTTAGACCACTCATCATGCAGGGTGTCATAGACCCACATGTCTTTGGAGGCCCCGTTCTCTGAGCCCCTCCCCCCGGTCACGTAGACCTTGCAGCCGATGGCACAGGCGCTGCACTCCTTACGGGGGCTGGGGATGTCAGTTTTGGGGGTGATCTCCTTGGTCTTGTTGTCGATCATGTACACCTTGTCACACATGAAGGTCTGGCCTCCCAGGAGAAGAAGGGCCTGGCTGACCTTCCTAGGCCGGGCGCAGAACCCTGTCACAATGCCGTCGTTCTGGAGGATCCTCATCTTACAGCGCACCGCATCCTCCACGATCTCCCGGCCCACTTTGTGGCCCATCACCAGCTCCTCAGAGGCCACGTTCTTCAGCAGGTATGTCTCAGGCAGCAGGGCCAGACGCACACAGCGCAGCAGCTCCGGCAGGTCGCCCAGCCTCCTCTCCATGTCCGCCTTCACCCAGTCTATCACAGCCTCATATACCAGGCTCTCATCCTCCACCTCCAGCTCCTCGCTGAACACCAGCTCCTGGACCTTGTCTTTAGGGAGATTAAGGAAGTCCTCCGTCCTGTTGAGGGTGGCGAAGTTGGCCAGGCACATCCTCCAGGAGAGCTCGTAGAGCCGCTGGCATTGGTGGGCGTCCGACAGCAGCATCATGCCCAGGCAGTTGGACGGTGCCAGGTTCTTCTCTAGGAACTCAGAGCAGGCGTCTCGGATGTCGTGGAACTGGAGCATGTCCCCGGCCTCCAGAAGGGACTCTGCGTTCTCCTCGTTGATGATGATGCGGGCCGAGTAGGCGTAGTCTAACAGCAGCTCCAGCACCTCTGGGTGCAGCGAGTCGTGGAAGTTGACCTCGGCATCGCGGCTCTCCCTCAGGCCTCCGCTAAACATGGCCTCAAAGTAGCGGCTGCAGGAGGCCAGCACTGCGCGGTGGCAAGGGAAGACATGGTTCCCGGCCCTCAGGACCACGTCAGTGAAGACTCTTCGCTTACGGAGCAGGTTGAGCTGGGTCAGGAGGCTGTCTGCATGAGACGTCTTGTGGAACAACTGGATGTTCATGGAGCCAGAGCTAGAGCGGGATTTCCTGTTCTCGTGGTTGCTCACAGACATCTTGGACCTGGAGGGCAAACAAACAAAATGTTATTAATTTATTGATATAGCTACATCTATTTGTCTAAAATGTCATTATGAAGCATCAATTTCTTTAGCTTTACAGCCTTGACATGATCTTGGATATCAAAATATGTTCTGCTCCCTTTACAGGCTTATTAGGGGCCATTTACATTAGTAAAATATGTCTAGTTAGATATATTGCTCTTCCACATCAGATTTGCAACTTTTCTGTTTACACTAGCCTTGGATGTGGTGTAGCCTTGGATTCCTGCTTCATGCCTGAGGACCATAGCCACAGGAAGTAGTTTGGGGGTGGGGGTGCTGTAAAATGGGGGTGGGGGGGGGGGGCTGGACAAATATTTTTGCCTAACTGATATATCCGCTAACACAGGACTATTAATGGCCCAGTGCACTACTTTGAGAAAAAAATACCCCCCCCCCAATTTTTTAAATTATTATATATACACATATATATATATACATATACATATATATATATATATACACACATATATATTTGTTTATGATTCAGGGGGTGCTGCAGCCCCTGCATCCTGCGGCTATGGTGAGGACAGCTATTTGCATACCGTAAACGCCATAGTATATAGACAAATAAAATAAGGATAGCAATTAAAACGATACAGGAGCTTCTCATCTAAACCATATTGCACAGTGCTGCACACTTGATTAATGCAATTATTGACAAATGTGTGGATATTTTTAAAGACTTTAATGTTGTATTTGGCTAACAGAGCAAAAATGCTGTCTACTGGTATGAAGGTAATTCTTGCAGGGACATTGTTGTTTTTACGGAGTGGCTACAGATACGGAGTTTCTGTATCCCAATTTGCCCAGGCAAAAAATTACCGACTCGCCACTCTGCTGCTATGCTGAGTGCTCCGCTGCCACTCCCCTCCCCTCCTTGATCGCCTTTGTCTGGTCACTGGTGAAGACTACAAACTATTGCATTCCCTCAGTAGGCTTTTAAGCACATGGGCGTTTTCATGTTCTTTTTTCATGAGGGGAGTAGGCTACATGCAGCTATTTACATGTTCATACAAACTTTGTTGTCAGTATTGCAAACATAAGCACGATACAAACAGAGTCAGTCAGTCTAGCGATGTCATGTTCTTCTTAGCTGCTGAGTTACATGCAGCTATTTACTCTCGCCACGATATCAGCATATGGCAAAACGAACTCGCCCATTTCCAGACTATTTTCACCCGTCTGGATACAGATACACACTCTCCTGCCCAGTGAAACGCAGCAAGACACAGACACGCAGTCCAATTAGCGATTGAACGTTATTTTTTTCATCATCATTGCAAACATTGGCTAAGCTGCGAGGGGATGTGGGGTAAAAAGCACATACGAATGCGTAAAATAACATGTGCAGAACGTGATCCGGATCCTTAGTTTAACAAAGAGGTTTCTGGAAGGGTCGGGCGTAAATGTATCCGTAGCCAAGGGCTTGTCTTTACGCCAAAACTCAGAGGGGGTATGTGGTGTACATGTCTACCTCCAGAGGTAGTGTGGGAGACGTCTCTTAAAGAGAGATTTTAAAGACGCCCTATGCAGATGTAACAGTGTTGCTTCCCATCCCTCTCCTCGCCCCTACCTGGGCTTGAACCAGGGACCCTCTGCACACATCGACAACAGTCACCACAAAAGCCGCCATTTCCTGGTTCCTGAAATTCTAATAGTTTGTGTGACAAAACAAGCAAGTATAGTGTATCATTGTACCATCTAAACCGCTGTGAAATATATTTTCCCTAACCAAAAATATTTTTTTTATTTTCAGCTGTTTGAATGTGGTGTACAAAACCGAAAGTAAAAGATGCAAAAACTAAACTTAACGGGAAGTATAGAAATAGTGCACATGGAACAGATCTACTGCTTCTTAGACTTGCTTTCAATGAGAATGACAGATCTATAACACACATTTCTATGTGAATTTGGTCAGGTTGCCCAAAAAGTTTATTATGGCAGCTTTAATCTAGATAATCTCTTTACACTACACAAGTATCTCTCCTGGACCTAGTTTGTGTTGTCGAAGTAGTGTAAAGAGGCCTCTGTAGCTCAATTGGTAGAGCACGGCGCTTGTAACGCCAAGGTGGTGGGTTCGATCCCCGGGACCACCCATACGTAAAAAATGTATGCACACATGACTAAGTCGCTTTGGATAAAAGCGTCTGCTAAATGGCATATTATTATTATTATTATTATTATTATTATTATTATTATTATATGCTGGCAGGGTAAAGCAAACATTGAAATGTTACCCTGACACTCCCATTCTGAATAAATACAAGGCTGGTGCTCATTTGCCTGGTCAGTAAGTGTCTTTAGGCTATAAAGCCATCAACTCTTATCAGATGGATCCGGAAATGAACTCTGGACTTGAAGATGAAAGGATACCTGATAAGGTTTGTGTTTACACACTGGCAACAAGGGAATCAATACAAAAATCATCTGTCAAAATCTACCAGTAATCAATTATTTACTGACAAATGACTAAAAGTAGAATTTAATCCTCATTAAATACCTAGTTACATTCAATATAACCAGGTGAGGTGAATAAGTGTGCTACCTGGGTGTGGACATATCTTTCCTGGCTATATCAGCATTTTAAGCCTATGAATCACGGTGCCAACCTCCCATGACTGTTCCCTCTGTATATCTGGCTCATATCAGACGGTGCCACAGGCAAAGCATTCAACTCCCTGGGTAAAACCTAACACCTTACAGAACATCACCTTCAGGATATAAATTGTCAGAATTGTGCAACACTAAAGCAAATTCGATTTTTATTTTTTTTTAAGATTCCTTCATAATATTGTTTGATAGCCAAATTGCAATTCAGAATCACTGATTATTTCTTCAACAAATTATATACAATTAATTGTAGTTACATTTCAGAAAACATTTAATCACTTGATAGAGCTAACTGCTTAATAAACTGAGGTATTCACATTTCATGAGGCTTATTTATGTTCCAAAAACACCTGCAAATCAATACATTAATAGAACAGAAAAAGATACGAATACAAAATGAGAGATAATAAAAAGACAAACGTTGTGCTTAAATAAACCTCCGAGGAGCAAGGAATCTAACACGACACAGTGTGAAATCCAATTCGTTTTGTGCATACTTGTTAGTAGTCGCCAAAGTTCTGGGAGCGTCTTTAAATGTAAACCATGTCCAGCATGTGCTCAGTTTCTTCCGAACTTAGATCAGCCTGGTAAACACCCCGGCTACTACTGCAAGCTCCGGATCGGATGTTACAAGCAGCTAGTTACATTTCGGAAGTACAAGAAGTGTCAAAACAAGCACGTATATCTGTGATCGAAACAAATCCTTACCTAAATCCTCTCGGACCAACGGAAGCAAAGCAGGAATATCCGACCAAGGCACCATGCAATGGGCACCCAACTTTCTTCGTGAGTTTGATGTGTGTTAATTCACGAAATAGCTTTCTACGTCACGAAGTTCAGACTATGTTTCTCCTAGAAAGCTGGAACACTCGTAACCCCATCTGTTATATTCCTTTGTGTTTTTAATACACACTAAATGAAAGCGTTTGCTAAGTTGTTGACAGTGCGTCCGCGTTGTAGACAATATCCACAGCTGTGGCGAAGCACAAGTTACAGCTCCACACGCCCCTCCTACTCATGTCTATGCATGATCTCGTCCAATCACAACAGAGAAGAACGTTTTTGAGCTCCCCTCCACCCCCCCAGTGAACAATTGAATAATAGATGAATATGCTGCTACTACGGATCCATTTTGTGACAGATATTGATAGAAAACATTACCAATACACAGTCAAGCTGTTTTACCGTTGTTTATTCAATGTATACGATTTCTTTAATGAAACAGTTTTACAAGGGTTTGCTATACATTTCAATTACCAGTATGCTTGCATGGCTACAGACAAAATAGATATATTGTACTAATACTTACTGCCTTACACGATATTCTACAGTAGGACAGTTGTGTACAGTACACATTGTATGGTTGGTAAAAGTCCAATAATTCAGACCATGGCTCATTGTTTTTGTAAATTCTTGTCATTTTCTGAAGGATTTATTACGGTAATCAGGGATGTAGATTAGGGGAAATAGAAGGTATTACTGTTCCAATTAGCACACATATTTGTTATAAAACTGAATGGATTTATGCTTAGAGAATAATCTCTGGGATTGTACATCGATGCTGAACTCAACATTCCCCAATAGTGTGCCGTACCAACCAAACAACTGTGAGCACATAGAGAGAGAAACCCAGATAGAGGCAGCATCGATCAATCACATTTATTTTAGAAATACCTTTTTACATCAGCAATTGTCACCAAGTGCTTTACAGATACCAAACCTAAAACCCCAAAGAGCAAGCAATGCAGATGCATAAGCACAGTTGCTAGGAAAAACTCCCTAGGCAGCATCAGACTGTCCCAATTCAGAGGGGGAGAGACTCCATCAACTGCCTGCCTGTCTACCTGTCTACCTGTCTGCCTGCCTGCCTCCCTGTCTACTTGTCTGCCTGCCTGTCTGTCTGTCTGCCTGCCTGACTACCTGTCTGCCTGCCTGTCTACCTGTCTGTCTGTCTACCTGTCTGCCTGCCTGTCTACCGGTCTGCCTGTCTACCTGCTTCCCTCCCTCCCTCCCTGATTGTCTGTTGCTCTGTCTGTCTGCCTGTCTACCTACCTGCCCGCCTGTCTGTCTGCCTGACTATCTTCTCACCTCACTGATCTTCAAAAAGACCTGGGACCTGTGTTGTGTTCCCCACCAAAGAGACCAGGGACCTGTGTTCCCTTCCACCAGCTGCCTGGGGGTTGATACTCTGATATGACACTGGGCTCACATTTCCATCTGTGTCCCTCTCTGTCACTCAACAGCTGCGTTTGAAGATTACCAACTGTCGTTCCGTTTTTGTTTATGATATTTTCGAAGGGGGTGTAATTCAGATCCCATCACTTCCTTTGTTGATGGGAGTTTTAACAATCCTGGAATCGCTCTTTGATTCCCTCAAAGGATCCTCTAAGAGAACTCTGAAGGTTGTTTTTGTTAGATGCACTCATAAACATACCTCTTGGGTAGGGGGGGGGTACATTTTCAAACCCTTGTTTTCAGCTATTCTTAAAGCTTTGTAGATATACCACTCCATTGAAGTGTTTTCATACAGAAGCATGCCAGTAAGAGAATTGCCAATAAGCAGATTACTTTAATGAAGTCATCTAGGGTTAATTTATGCCCCCCCCCCCGTGGCTTGTCCAGTGCAATCCAGAACATGTGTGCATGGTGTGTGTGTGTGTGGGGGGGGGGGGGCTCATTGATTGCTCCAAGCCACGCTAGAACCCCCCCCCACTCCGCCTCCATCACAACAGCCTTCACAGTGGATGACTGTAACCATCATCCTATTGTGGGCTCTACTCTACTGTACTACCATGCCCATTCACTAGTAGCAGGTGCTGTCTGCAGTGAGGTCATCCTGTGTGAAACAGAAGAGGCGTTCTATGAGGTCTTATGGCCACACCAAAACAATGCAGACTTTAATGAGTGGGTATTTACATATGCAGCAGCAGTCCTCATGGACTCCTGTCAGTCTGTCTGGTATGGTTGAATGGACTGGGCTGATTCACTTATTTTTTTAGACTGTAATTGTTGGACCACTATTACTTGTTGTTTGTATAGAGTAGACCATGCACAATCATCACACTATCTAGATGGGATATTTTTAATTAAGCTGTTTCACAAAGTTTTGTCACCTGACTCGTGGCAAACAAGATGATATTTCATTGTTGTTAAAAAGGAGAATAGCTAGACAGTAGCCCTATTGTAAGGTGTGTTGAATGTCATTGTAAGGTGTGTTGTATGTCATTGTAAGGTGTGTTGTATGTGCAATGACAATATCAAATTGTACCACCCTAAACCACATATTGCTCTGAATTAAATTATGTGAGTTGTGATTCCTTGCTGGATTTCACGGCAGAAAATAATTTAATTAGCAAGGATAATCATAACAATTCGATGCCCTGCATTGAGCTGGATTATAGCACCCCCATGTGGTAAAAAAAAAAAGGTACTGATTCATGAAGAAAAACGATTAAAGCATAAGGAAATAGACTTGTCTTTATTTGAATAAATGACTGAAGGATCTTTGTTTCAATCAATGAATACATCAAGACAATGATATTAGATGGAGGAGCAAAATTATGCCTGTTTGTACTTCATTGACAAAAGTCTATCAACTTCACAGTCCTGAAAACTTGATAATGGGACCATTGCACACTATCCGGGAAGTGTTTTCAACATGTTACATCCCATAATAGATTTGAAACATTGTTAATAGCAATAATTACAACAATTTGAATAATTACAATCAAATCAAATGATCAAATAAATCAAATGGCCCTGGAGGACATCTCTTTGTGGTGGCTGCAATAATTGGGCTTCTCATTGGGGTCCAGCAGCCACAATGTAGCCTGGAGCAAAGAGGTCTTTGCCTTCAGCCTGGCTATTTCCTCCTCCTCCTCCTCCTCCTCCTCTTCACTGGTTCATTTGGCCCAGTGTCTTCTTCACAGAAGTCTCCTCCTGTTGGACCTATCTCCTTCTTGGCATAGGTCAGTCTGAGGCCCCCCTCCCATGTCTTTTTAACACATTAATGGCTACCGAACGAAGAGCTGTTTGGAACCGCCTCTTTTAGACGAACGAAGCAGAATAAAAAGGCAAAAAAAAAATAATTGAAATGCCTTTTACTGGCATTGCCACACACACTGTGTTTACATTCAACATCTCCTCATTTCATAAATACCAGCATACCACTGTGGGGCGGCAGGTAGCTTAGTGGTTAAGAGCGTTGTGCCAGTAACCGAAAGGTCGCTGGTTCTAATCCCCGAGCCGACTAGGTGAAAAATCTGTCGATGTGCCCTTGAGCAAGGCACTTAACCCTAATTGCTCCTGTAAGTCGCTCTGCTAAATGACAAAAATGTGTAAATTCCACTTGAATGCCCCTCTAACTGGTAATTACCAGTGGGAAACTTGTCTATCATCCCTGTACTCCGAGTTTCCCACTTGCACCTCTCTGACGTCATTTGTCAACTAAAAAGAAAACAAGCATGGTGGGCAGGCCCTAGGCATAAGCAACATAAAACCCGACTTAATTTTTCTTATTTGAGAGTTAGAATTGTAGAATACACCAGGTGACAATGTGGTGGTGCATCAGCAGTCTTCCTCTTGTTATGTCAGTCACTGACAGTCACTCACAGTCACTCACAGTCACTGACAGTCACTCAA